CAAAGACTTATGACGGGAAAAAGTTTATTGTTAGACGTCATACGACCTTGAAGTAGCCAGTGAGTGCGCGCACTGTTCATGAGAATCTTCCAGCTTTGTAACATTCACCTTTACCTCGGTTTTGCTACATGCGTTCTTTCTACTAAAGTTTTTTACACTTTGTAATAACACCTGCCTTTTCTAAGTGCAATCCTCAGATTTGGGAGATATGTTATTTGTTGGAACAAATAAGAGAGCAGATTTGCGCTATGTAAAACCGTCGAAAAACGTCCAAAATGTCCTTAGGACATACAAAGGTTTCCTTACACGCGACCTCTTTCATAATCGGTCGATACCAAATGTTATCGATAGTCTCCCCTACAGTAAAGTAAAAGAAGTTACAACTGCGAATCGAACCTGAGTCTCTTCCTTACGTCTTCTCTTATTTTGAATGTAAACACAACGTGAGCCTGAACTTATGGCTTTTCAAAATGTGTTTCTACTTTATTCTACCATGTCCGGTAGCATATTTTACATCTACGAGGACTAAAGATTTGGTTACTAGCGATAAGATAGACCGTTGCAAAAGGAAAAAGACAGGCCTTGTCTTTCTTTCTTTCTTCTTTTCTTGTTTTAGAGTTGGGGTCAGCTTTTTAAAAGTAGTGTGACGGATTCAAATGGGGGATTTGCAAAATTGTTTTGTAGGCCGTATTGCTTATCGCATGACACTTTTCCTTGCAGGTCGTTACGAAGCCGACGCCTAGCCACGTAGAAGTAGAAAACTATGGCTTCAAGATGTTTATTTTCATCATGTTTATCCTGGCGCTGATAATGATCCCCATTGCCATTGTTTGGGAAACTAGAAAGACCTATATTAAATCGACGGATGCTTACAAGGGCTTCGCTAAATTCGTGTTAAAATCTTTCGGATACAAAATTTGAGGAGTCACGCAGTACCGGGTAATTTTTAATCAATCGTGGTAGTACCTTTAGGAATTTACTGTCAAAATTGACATTGGAAAATAATTCATTGTAGCAATTAGTGGACTCGATTAGTGCGTTTTGTTCTTTTTTGTCATTGTCAATATAATAGATTTATTTTTTGTTCGTCTACCTAGAATACAAAGCTTGAAAGCTCGTGCGTGCGAGGGAAATATCCTTTTAGTGGTGACCTAAAAGAACTGTGTGTGTTAATTTTCAGGTGAAAATAGTCAATAACGAATACTCTTGACTAACAGGTCTGTCAAGGATACGTACATACTTAAGCTTTGAAAAGTTTGGGGGGTATTTCTTTTTCGTACATTTTTAAATTCCCGATCCCGAACGTTAAGTTTTCATTCATTTATAGATAATATTTCTCACGTAGTTACACCAGCCTCACCAAAACTCGTAATAAGCTTGTAACAGCACGGCCTTATTAGTGAAAACTGCACTTAAAAAAATATGTAGAAGAGATCCTCAGACTCGCCCTCAGGACCATTGTGGAGGAGAGGGCCTGGGAGCAAGTTTTACTCTCTCGCGCACGCATAATCAGCAGTGAAAGCACTGCATGAATGCCTTTTTTTATTTCAAAATTCTTCCACGTTCCAGCACGCCTCAGAAGCTTTCAGGTCTTTTCTCCGTCAGTCAACTTTTCTCTAAACCGAATGATAGTTCAACTGTATTGTTTGCAAAGTGTTGGCGTAAGAAAGAACGGGGTGTGTCTCCCTCGCGCGTCCCATTCTTTCTTACGCTCATTACTTTCAAGCGCCTGCTGCCGTAAGATTTGACTAAGAGTACAAAATTGAGTGTGTGGGCCTGTTATCTCCCCGAAGTATTTTCGCTCTCCAGTGTTGTTGACCAGCAGATCGAGAGGCATCAGCGATGAGATTGGTGTAAAACAGTTGATTATATGGGGAACAGGAACTTAATCATTCTTGTACTCTTGGCTCGGTCTACGGACTGTTTTTTGTTAGTGAAGACGGTGGGGTGGAAATCGGAGCCATTCGAGCGCTTATAACCTTATGAGTCTTAAGCATCGGAGTTGTATGCAGTGATCAGCTCGACGCAACGGAAGCGGAGTCGAAATAGAATTAAACTTAAAATTTTCTTCCGACTCCCCTTATAACGCCCTCGCTCACGTTCTCATTAAACTTAAGGAGCTTCTCATTGGATTAAAATCTCATTAGACAAATTGACCGGTCCTGTCGGCCCATTTCTGACTTTTTGAAAGCGCCCTTAGATGGTGGGAGTCGCAGACGAAAGTGGAAGAACTAAACCATTTACGATGCGTTTCACAAGATGATAACGCTTTGCGCTATTGATCACAACTCCGACGCCGACTAAGCTTGTTCCAGGCTTTCGGATCGTGGGGATGGAGCAAAGAGATGTGAGCAGGAAAAACTGCGAAGGGGTAGAGTAGGTAGGGGGTGAGAGTGAGGGAACGCTTGACTTCGCTCCACACTCACCTTTCTGAACGCCTGGAAATCAGTAGTGAGAGCCAGCCTTAAAGCTCCTTACTACGTATTTAAGACACTGATCGTATCATGTAAATCAAGTTTCAGTGACGTTGGGTTGAGTTAGATCATAGATCACAGACGTATCCTTCACTTCGTACGGTATGCAGAAGTATTTCACTTTTAGTATTATACATTGTACATACTGCCTGTCTTCTCATTGGCTAAGAGCCTGCCGTCAATTTTGTACATCAGGGCACTTACAGATTAGTTAGTTATTTGTTAGCAGACAATTACTTATCTGTAGGTTTTGTGCGCAATGCATGATTTTCATGTGCATTATCAAACTGTGTTCCGTGCGACGGTTATTTTAATCTTCAAAACAATGTCTAATAGAACAAGTGTTAGATTCCTTTCTTTTGTATTAACAATCATTGGATGAGGGTTTTTTGTGATATCGGTATAACCAAAGTGTTGATAAGAGTAATCAATCTCGGCCGATATTCTTACGTCGAGCTTGATTATTCCGGATATCACCAAAAACGCATCCAATGATTGTTTATACTTGATTCTTAAGACGACACGTCAAAACTTAAACGTTTTGACCATCTGAGTAAACTTGGTGCGGATGGGAGTACATTTCAGTGAAATTAGCATTTAATTTGTTGTAGAAATTTTGTGTTTAGACAACTTTCTAGTAAATCTAAATAGGGCAAAACGTCAATTGTAAATTTTAAAAGTAAAACTCCAAGTATTTAAATGTTCGTAGAGGACACGCATTGCCAATTTCGTATCGTTATCGCAGTAAGTTACGTCTGAATTAAGTTTTTGTCTACCAGTTGATTTTTAAGCAGTCGAGGGAACGGCTTGTTTATTTGGGGTTCTCTGTTCCCAGATTCTTCTCCACTTAATAATGGGCGAAGAGACTGGGCATGCGGATTTTTTTATTATCCCAAAATTCTTCTTGGGCAGCGGTTTTCCTGTAAAAATATGAGGCCCGCATGTTCTCCTCAGTTCGCGCCAATATTGCTGAAGAATTCATTTGCAAATAATTCACTTATTCCGTCGTAACAAATGCAAAACATCCGAGATCAAGAATCGAAACTTGGATTCTCCCAAATAAACATGCCTTAAAAGATGCCTTTCCCTTAAACATAACACCACTTTTGAAGCAAGCTACTCTTGTTTTCCAGCGCTTACCTTGTAAAAAAAGACGAATGTCATCACGGTGTAATTAAAATGATGTCTTTTTTTTCGGGAAATATGTCCTTGAAATATTTCATTTTTATTTTCTGAAACTGTTCCAAATCGCGTGTGGTTAAATAACCAATGCCTGGTAGGACATTTAGCTTATTAGATTGACGTACTCATATTCTGTAAATGCATGTGGCTGACATTGAAAAAACAATAAAGGGTTATATTTGAACTTGCCTGCCATCGATATTTCAAGATATAAATCTTGTGGATCCAGAAAATTCAGAGAGGGGTGAACGGGACACTTGCCAGTTATATAGAAACTTTTTGTTTTACCGAGACCCTTGGCCCCGCCCCTAAATCCGCCTATGCTCTGTTGTTATTTCGCCAATCACGTTTTCGGTGGCAAGTCGTCTTAAACTTAAACCAAAAGAGACAAAATGTCGGACGCATAGCCCAGAACGTGTTGCATATACCGCCCCCCACCCCCCCCCGCACCCTATACCCAGCGTGATGGGGACGATCAACCCCGTCCCCAGGGCTTTTCCGTAAAAATGGGAGGGGGAGCCGTGGGGATGAGGTTAGGGGACGATCAAAGTATTGAAGAGAGGAGGCTGGTCATTTCAGAAGTAAACAAAAAGAAACGAGGACTAAAATAATATAAATAAGCAAATTACCCTTTTGAAACGAGATAAAGTTTTTAAATGGGACATTTCCAAAATGCACCCCCTCTCCCCATATCCTCTGCCCCCAAAAATATAATACGACAATGTAAAGTGACCAATTTGATCTAACTACATTTCCAAAAATTATTGTCGTTCTACTCTTATAAAACGTGATAGGGTCACCTTTTGATGTTCTATAACTCTGTTATATAACGGTAATTTTCTGTTTCCTAAAACTAGCAAAGCAATTAGGTTTCAGTTTTGTTTCGCCTGATGTTTCATTAAAAACTCTTCTCACTATCCAAGTGAATATATTTCCGTTCGACGGGACAGCAGCCCAATGTACTCCCAGCGTGGGCTAATCTCCGTCGCAGCCGTTATCAGTAGGCCTAGATACAAATATCGCAAAAAATGTTCTAAATTTCTTTCTAGAAATTCTCATAAAATTCCTAAATTTCTTTTGAATTTAGTCTAAATTTCTTGAAAAATCTTCTAAATTTCTCAGAAATATCATTTTTTTCTAATGTTAATTTGACCCATTTTTTGGCTTTATATCAATTAAAGAAATGAAAAAAATATATATACATTATTATTTGAATAGCAAAAGATGTATATTGCAGGGCCTTCTCTTCCTCTTTGTTCTTGTTCACTCGCCTGTTCAATTTCCACTTCGATAACTTCCGCCATGTTGACTGATTGATTCCACGTGGATATTCTTACAGGATTTATGATTTCTGGATTTCTCTCCTTAAGGCCTGAAGTTTTGAAGTGCAGCTATGAGGGAAAAGTGTTTTATGTTCAGGTGCAGAGAGAAGATGTAAGTACAAGGTCTACAAGATCATGTGGGTTTTATGTCTCTGATGGTTGATATTGGCCAAGTTCCTTTTTTTGCATTTTGATGGACTGAGACAAAAGTTGAATTCAATAATAATGAAAAAGAAAAAAGAATAGAAACAATGTCGATGTCCAGTGGTCCTGAACGAACAAACTTGATCAATAAAAGATTCTTATATGGTCAAGAAAAGTTTTCCTTGATCAATGTGTTGCAGTTAATTTTTTTCCTATTATTTTTGGGTATGGTAATGTATGCTAATAGATTTTTAACTAAGGAAAAACAACAATTAACTGCAGCAGATCCTAATCGGGCAATATAGACCCATATTACCTGCTTAGGTTGCCAATCAAAGTGCAGTATTCAATTTATCTTGCCTACTCATGGAACCAGCCATAACAGGGAATAGACCATTTTCAGAATGACAATATTTGACTAGAACTACCAGAATTCCTTTCATCTTTGCTTTCTTTTTTCTACATCTCAATCTTGCTGAGATGTGAAAAACAATAGCCTTAATTTGCACAAGAAAACAACAAACATCTTAAGGATTCTGGTAGTTGTAGTAAAGTGACATCATCATGCAACTGTCTTATCCCTCCAGCTACTATGAATGTGAGCCCCCTGGCTACTTCCCTAGAAAACAAAAGGAAAATGGAACCATAGAACTTTCTAGTTGTAGAGTTTCCTACCTATGCAGCAACTTGAAACCTTAGTGACAAATCTGAATAACAATGTTCATTTGGTTATCTTGTTCGTGAGGCTGTTTATTTTCGTGATTTCAGCGAAAGGCTAACTATGGTTTCCGACTCCCTGATCCCCTGGCTTGTAAGCATTTATGGAAGTGTGCAGTGGAGCACCTAGCATTTTACAGGTAAGCTGTAACTTAGAATAATTGACAATCTAGTTGGCCTTACTATGATTTTTAATAAATGCAACAAGACAGTATTGCTTTTGAATTATAGTTGAACCTCCATGTTGGATCCCCTTGTTGTGAGCGACTGCCTTTGATAAGTGACCACCCATCCAAGACATCAAAATTTCCACAATGAAATCACTACATTTGGAATCTTTTGTAGATAACCACCTCTCGTAAGCAACTGCAGCTACTCTTTTGGGTGACCTCTTTTGGATGTTCCATTGTTTTTATCCTCCTGTGAATGAGCACTTAAGGCGTGGTTTGATTTCTGTGTTCATTGTATTTAGTACACTCTGAACAGAATAAGATATACTTTTTGTGGGGACATTAAACTATGCATAATGGTTTCGTGCAATGAATTCTCTTCCAAAATGTAGATCGTTCAGACGTCTTCTAAAAAGGGACCCCTGTGGTTCAATTCCCGTAAGCGACCACTAACTTTTCACATTCTGGGTATCGCTTGGGAGGTTTGACTGTATTATAACACTGATGAATTTTAAATACGTTAGAGAATATGTGTCACTTAAACGTGAACAGGGTGTGATTCATATAAGAATTAAATTTTTTGAGATTTGATGTTGTAAAAAACTATTTTTTTAACTCTCTAGTGTTAATACACAACTAGGCTTTAGGACTTCAAACATGTACTATTTCACAGGTTAAATTCTTCTCTATTCTTATCAAGCTCATATTTTCCTTTGCAGTCATAAGGACAATGTAGCCAAGCCAAAACGGAAGGCTATTTCACCACAGAGGTTTTTCAGGAGATCAAAGCATAAATACCTGTGAGTTCATCTCCTTTCTATGGACCCTTTCACTGCCAAATTTAGCCAAAAGAAAATTTTGACCAAATTTCGAAGTTTCATTTTGTGAAATTTTGAAGAACAAATAGCACCATGCGTAAGTACAGGCACACAGCTTTCATTTGAATGGTCACATCATAGGATTTGTATTAATGAAAATACAGAGGAATACTGGAAAACGGAATTCCGTGAGTTTTCTGCCTACATGTACTTAGAGTTTTAAACTCGAAGCAGCATATCCCACCATGGGATGAAGTGCACTTACTAAGTCGTTTAAACTATTCGTTTAGCAACACTACCATTTAAAGTCAGTTTGCTCTTGACTTAAACATTAACGCAAAGAAAAAAACACAACGATAACTTGCCAAACTCGCTTGTGGAACGAGAAGACTACATGTAGCCAAAAGAACCCGATACCATCTGTAAGTACTATCATACCTGTGTACTTCGCTTGGGTTACCTGTGGTAAGACGTGTATTCTTCTTAATTTGCAAATCAGAATTTTCCTTTTTTTTTCACAAAACTTGAATTTAGCTCCCATTTACTCATTGAAAATGATTGATTGTGATTTGCGGTAAACTAAATTCTACGTGGTCGCTCTGTCGCATTGTAGTGTGATTTGCTTTTTGATACTTACAGTGTTAGTTGGCTGAAGTTTATTGCAAGTAATCGTTATGGCTTCTCTCTTTTGTTTCCAGCGGTCCAACTCAAGACCAGCTTATCGCTGAAAGCGAGAAGATCAGTCGCCCAGCACCAGAGATTAAAAGGTACGTCTGTAATCTGTCGTCATCCGCAATATTTTTGGTATGGTTATGTATGACAATCCTTTAGAACGAAGGAGAATACAAAAAATATTATATGGCCAGAAAGAGAGTTTTGCTTGCGGGACCAACGCGGGTAATCCCGAGTGGGCAAGGTGGGCCCGTCTTGCCCGTTCGGGTAGCCAATCAGAATGCGGGATTCGCTTCACCTTGCCAGCTCGCGAATTCAGCCTTGTAATAAAGGCTTTTCTTGACTGACTGATGCTTTTGATTGATTAGGGCACCTAGTGTCAGGATTTCTCGCCGGATAAAAGTTTCTTCGGACAACATCTCTGAAAGCACTGGAGTGCTGAACTTGTCCTCGCCTGGACAATCTGGCGGGAACACACCCATATCGGACGCCGCCGAATTAGAGAAGTTTGAAACTTCTAAATTTCCACCCAGTCCTCCCCCCGACGACAGCTTTGTTGGTGATAGTACTGACGCCAGTTCTCCCTCAGTTGCAAATCACGTGGGTCACGAGGAAAAACCTGCCACAAAGGTAAACATTTCTTAATGCGTTATGGCTTTTCCCGAGTGAATCAATTGTTTTTTTTCCTTTTAAGTCTCAGCGAGATTCAGGGGATGTGTTGTATCGCTCAGACAACCAGGACTCTTGGAACCCCAGTATATTCATTACTGCGGTTAATATTCGGTTCAATGTTGCCAGCTCAAAGACTTATGACGGGAAAAAGTTTATTGTTAGACGTCATACGACCTTGAAGTAGCCAGTGAGTGCGCGCACTGTTCATGAGAATCTTCCAGCTTTGTAACATTCACCTTTACCTCGGTTTTGCTACATGCGTTCTTTCTACTAAAGTTTTTTACACTTTGTAATAACACCTGCCTTTTCTAAGTGCAATCCTCAGATTTGGGAGATATGTTATTTGTTGGAACAAATAAGAGAGCAGATTTGCGCTATGTAAAACCGTCGAAAAACGTCCAAAATGTCCTTAGGACATACAAAGGTTTCCTTACACGCGACCTCTTTCATAATCGGTCGATACCAAATGTTATCGATAGTCTCCCCTACAGTAAAGTAAAAGAAGTTACAACTGCGAATCGAACCTGAGTCTCTTCCTTACGTCTTCTCTTATTTTGAATGTAAACACAACGTGAGCCTGAACTTATGGCTTTTCAAAATGTGTTTCTACTTTATTCTACCATGTCCGGTAGCATATTTTACATCTACGAGGACTAAAGATTTGGTTACTAGCGATAAGATAGACCGTTGCAAAAGGAAAAAGACAGGCCTTGTCTTTCTTTCTTTCTTCTTTTCTTGTTTTAGAGTTGGGGTCAGCTTTTTAAAAGTAGTGTGACGGATTCAAATGGGGGATTTGCAAAATTGTTTTGTAGGCCGTATTGCTTATCGCATGACACTTTTCCTTGCAGGTCGTTACGAAGCCGACGCCTAGCCACGTAGAAGTAGAAAACTATGGCTTCAAGATGTTTATTTTCATCATGTTTATCCTGGCGCTGATAATGATCCCCATTGCCATTGTTTGGGAAACTAGAAAGACCTATATTAAATCGACGGATGCTTACAAGGGCTTCGCTAAATTCGTGTTAAAATCTTTCGGATACAAAATTTGAGGAGTCACGCAGTACCGGGTAATTTTTAATCAATCGTGGTAGTACCTTTAGGAATTTACTGTCAAAATTGACATTGGAAAATAATTCATTGTAGCAATTAGTGGACTCGATTAGTGCGTTTTGTTCTTTTTTGTCATTGTCAATATAATAGATTTATTTTTTGTTCGTCTACCTAGAATACAAAGCTTGAAAGCTCGTGCGTGCGAGGGAAATATCCTTTTAGTGGTGACCTAAAAGAACTGTGTGTGTTAATTTTCAGGTGAAAATAGTCAATAACGAATACTCTTGACTAACAGGTCTGTCAAGGATACGTACATACTTAAGCTTTGAAAAGTTTGGGGGGTATTTCTTTTTCGTACATTTTTAAATTCCCGATCCCGAACGTTAAGTTTTCATTCATTTATAGATAATATTTCTCACGTAGTTACACCAGCCTCACCAAAACTCGTAATAAGCTTGTAACAGCACGGCCTTATTAGTGAAAACTGCACTTAAAAAAATATGTAGAAGAGATCCTCAGACTCGCCCTCAGGACCATTGTGGAGGAGAGGGCCTGGGAGCAAGTTTTACTCTCTCGCGCACGCATAATCAGCAGTGAAAGCACTGCATGAATGCCTTTTTTTATTTCAAAATTCTTCCACGTTCCAGCACGCCTCAGAAGCTTTCAGGTCTTTTCTCCGTCAGTCAACTTTTCTCTAAACCGAATGATAGTTCAACTGTATTGTTTGCAAAGTGTTGGCGTAAGAAAGAACGGGGTGTGTCTCCCTCGCGCGTCCCATTCTTTCTTACGCTCATTACTTTCAAGCGCCTGCTGCCGTAAGATTTGACTAAGAGTACAAAATTGAGTGTGTGGGCCTGTTATCTCCCCGAAGTATTTTCGCTCTCCAGTGTTGTTGACCAGCAGATCGAGAGGCATCAGCGATGAGATTGGTGTAAAACAGTTGATTATATGGGGAACAGGAACTTAATCATTCTTGTACTCTTGGCTCGGTCTACGGACTGTTTTTTGTTAGTGAAGACGGTGGGGTGGAAATCGGAGCCATTCGAGCGCTTATAACCTTATGAGTCTTAAGCATCGGAGTTGTATGCAGTGATCAGCTCGACGCAACGGAAGCGGAGTCGAAATAGAATTAAACTTAAAATTTTCTTCCGACTCCCCTTATAACGCCCTCGCTCACGTTCTCATTAAACTTAAGGAGCTTCTCATTGGATTAAAATCTCATTAGACAAATTGACCGGTCCTGTCGGCCCATTTCTGACTTTTTGAAAGCGCCCTTAGATGGTGGGAGTCGCAGACGAAAGTGGAAGAACTAAACCATTTACGATGCGTTTCACAAGATGATAACGCTTTGCGCTATTGATCACAACTCCGACGCCGACTAAGCTTGTTCCAGGCTTTCGGATCGTGGGGATGGAGCAAAGAGATGTGAGCAGGAAAAACTGCGAAGGGGTAGAGTAGGTAGGGGGTGAGAGTGAGGGAACGCTTGACTTCGCTCCACACTCACCTTTCTGAACGCCTGGAAATCAGTAGTGAGAGCCAGCCTTAAAGCTCCTTACTACGTATTTAAGACACTGATCGTATCATGTAAATCAAGTTTCAGTGACGTTGGGTTGAGTTAGATCATAGATCACAGACGTATCCTTCACTTCGTACGGTATGCAGAAGTATTTCACTTTTAGTATTATACATTGTACATACTGCCTGTCTTCTCATTGGCTAAGAGCCTGCCGTCAATTTTGTACATCAGGGCACTTACAGATTAGTTAGTTATTTGTTAGCAGACAATTACTTATCTGTAGGTTTTGTGCGCAATGCATGATTTTCATGTGCATTATCAAACTGTGTTCCGTGCGACGGTTATTTTAATCTTCAAAACAATGTCTAATAGAACAAGTGTTAGATTCCTTTCTTTTGTATTAACAATCATTGGATGAGGGTTTTTTGTGATATCGGTATAACCAAAGTGTTGATAAGAGTAATCAATCTCGGCCGATATTCTTACGTCGAGCTTGATTATTCCGGATATCACCAAAAACGCATCCAATGATTGTTTATACTTGATTCTTAAGACGACACGTCAAAACTTAAACGTTTTGACCATCTGAGTAAACTTGGTGCGGATGGGAGTACATTTCAGTGAAATTAGCATTTAATTTGTTGTAGAAATTTTGTGTTTAGACAACTTTCTAGTAAATCTAAATAGGGCAAAACGTCAATTGTAAATTTTAAAAGTAAAACTCCAAGTATTTAAATGTTCGTAGAGGACACGCATTGCCAATTTCGTATCGTTATCGCAGTAAGTTACGTCTGAATTAAGTTTTTGTCTACCAGTTGATTTTTAAGCAATCGAGGTAACGGCTTGTTTATTTGGGCTTCTCGGTTCCCAGATTCTTCTCCACTTAATAATGGGCGAAGAGACTGGGCATGCGGATTTTTTTTATTATCCCAAAATTCTTCTTGGGCAGCGGTTTTCCTGTAAAAATATGAGGCCCGCATGTTCTCCTCAGTTCGCGCCAATATTGCTGAAGAATTCATTTGCAAATAAATCATTTATTCCGTCGTAACAAATGCAAAACATCCGAGATCAAGAATCGAAACTTGGATTCTCTCAAATAAAAATGCCTTGAAAGATGCCTTTCCCTTAAACATAACACCACTTTTCAAGCAAGCTACTCTTGTTTTCCAGCGCTTACCTTGTAAAAAAAGACGAATGTCATCACGGTGTAATTAAAATGATGTCTTTTTTTTCGGGAAATATGTCCTTGAAATATTTCATTTTTATTTTCTGAAACTGTTCCAAATCGCGTGTGGTTAAATAACCAATGCCTGGTAGGACATTTAGCTTATTAGATTGACGTACTCATATTCTGTAAATGCATGTGGCTGACATTGAAAAAACAATAAAGGGTTATATTTGAACTTGCCTGCCATCGATATTTCAAGATATAAATCTTGTGGATCCAGAAAATTCAGAGAGGGGTGAACGGGACACTTGCCAGTTATATAGAAACTTTTTGTTTTACCGAGACCCTTGGCCCCGCCCCTAAATCCGCCTATGCTCTGTTGTTATTTCGCCAATCACGTTTTCGGTGGCAAGTCGTCTTAAACTTAAACCAAAAGAGACAAAATGTCGGACGCATAGCCCAGAACGTGTTGCATATACCGCCCCCCACCCCCCCCCCGCACCCTATACCCAGCGTGATGGGGACGATCAACCCCGTCCCCAGGGCTTTTCCGTAAAAATGGGAGGGGGAGCCGTGGGGATGAGGTTAGGGGACG